GTCCATTCATCAAATTGATGTCTGTCCAATTCAGAGACAAGAATGTCATGTGGGACAGTGTCGAGCACTTTACACAAGTCCAGGTAGATGACATCAACTGCTTTTCCGCTGTCCATCAGTTATGTAGCCCCATCCTAGAAGGCCACCAAATGGGTCAGGCAGGATTTCCCCTTAGTGAAGACATGTTGGCTGTCAACAAGCACCTTGTTGTTTTTCATGTGCCTTAGCATGCCTTCCAGGAGAATATGCTCCAAGATTTTGCCAGGCACAGAGGTGAAACTGACTGGTGTGTAATTGCCCAGGTCATCCATTTTCCCCTTCTTGAAAATGGGGGTTATATTTCCCTTTTTCCAGTCATTGGGAATTTCACCTGACTGCCATGATTTTTCAATTATGATGGCTAGCAGCTTAGCAACTTCATTTGCCAGCTCCTTCAGGACCCGTGGATGGATTTCATCAGGACCCATGGACTTGTGCATGTTCAGATTTTTAAGATTCTTCATACCAATCCTTGAAGTAATGAATAAAAGAGTCTTATCTCAGCATTTTCCCACTTATCCTTCAGGCAATGGATAATGGAGTCCCAGTTCAGCTCCTCACACCCTTCTCCTAGGCAACAGATATTGGCGTCTTAATTCCTCTCACCCATCTCTGAGACAATGGATTGGTGGAATTCCGTCTCAGCTTCATACCAGTTTTTGAGACAATGGAAAGTGGAGTCTGATTTCAGATCAGTCTTTCACACCCTTCTCTTCCATGCTATTGCTGTGAGTCTCCTGTTTTTTCCCTAGCACTAATTAAAAGCAATTTGTAGGCAGATATATCTCTCTTTAGTTATAAATCCTGCAATGTGATCCAGTACCAGATATGAACATACAGCTGGCAGTGAAAGCAAGCACTTAACAGGTATGCAAAAATATACAAAAAAGTTGGTTAAAAATAAACTAATAAAAATCAGAATTAAAGAAGGAGGAGGTTTTAATCTATTACATCTGTTTAATGATCTTGAATTTCAGTACTGGAAAAGGGAAGGTAGGGCACAGGTGCAGAGCTAACTTTCTGTGTTCTCTCTTGGTATCATTAGGTATATCAAGACTGTGTACCAAGAAAACAGCAGTAAGTCATATGAGAGAAGTCTGGCATTTAAAAGCAGCAGCACTAATCATGAATGAACTTGAATCAATATTATTTATTTTTTATATTACAGCAGACCATGGTTCTAATCTAAGAAAATCAGAAATTGTAGGTTCTAATTTAAGAAAAGGTCCAAGATGCTGTTGGAACAGACAATTCAAGGAACAAGGATGCCTGGAAGAGGGAGGCACCATCACTAGACTGCCTGTATTTATACTATCTTCTGCAGACGGAATTGCTTAAAAAGAAATAAAAGAAATCATTCAATCAAAAGACATCAACACTTGCAATCATTTCATGCTGAAGCACTGTTCTTCTATTACACATGGGGACTTTGGAAAGAACTGAAAGGTCCTTTACAGAATAATTCAGGTTTGTCACAAGGATGTTTGCCACAAACAAGCACAAGTGAAAGCACAGTGAGGAGCTAGGAGGCATTAACGGAATAACAGTGCAAGCATCCTTGGGGTGAAGGACAAGGCTCAGCTGAATCCAAAATACAAACAAAAGCTGACCAGCTATAACCACCACAGTTCAAACCCCAGAAGCCAACCACAAACAGAAGGGGCTCTGCAGCTAAAGGGTTCCAAGTCTTCGCTGGCTGAATGTGGAAAAATTCAGAAAACCACGAGTTCATATTTGAGACTGCTGGATGTTCCTAGAGAGCTTTAGGAACCTGTAGATTTTTCTGTACAAGCTGCTACTGAGTTGCAGTTAAAATTACTGTTTCTAGAGTAGTTCTAGTCTGTGTTAAGAACCATTGTCCTCTGCTCAAGGCATACTGCCTCTCCTTAGACATACCCCTGGCTTTGTAGAGGTCCCAAGGTCGTACTGCATGCAGCTTGAAGAACCAATTATCTGGAAGAAAAATAGAATCTCTGGAGGGATAATCGATACCACTATATAGCAGGTATGTCTCATGGCACCTCTTCACAACAGGCAACGCAGATGGCAATGCTGTTCCATCAACAGGGTAGAGCCACCACTAAAAAAAGAACAATTTTTTTCTGACATGAATGAAGGACGGGTTTTGCACTGATCAGCAAAGACTGCAATAATTACCATGAGCTGTACTGGGGCTTGTACTGAAAAGCTTGCACAGTTCTTTCCAGTGAAGAATGAATTCTCACATATAAACCAGCATGCACAAACTGTAGGGCATAAGATATAGCATCACTCCTAAGCAAAAAAAAAATTGCCTTGAAACTTTTTTCTGGTAGCAAATAGGAAGCTGTAAGATGATTTTTGCAGCATCAGGCAGGGAGTACTAACCACTCATATGTGCCTCTTAATTATTTTTAGCAAATTAAATCATGTTCATGTTATAAAAAAATATACACCTTGAGAGGTTAGTTAAATATATTACTAGCAACATATTATTTTCTCCTTCATTTTAAGAAAATATAAAATTTCACTGTAAATACCTTTTCTATTTTTCCCCTATGATCAATGACAGCTCAAAAACATGGAGTAACAAAATGCTTTTCATATTATTCATTAAATTAAGTCTAAGTAAGTGACTTAATTTATATTCTACTTGATTACTTTCAGGACAGCAATGGAACTGCATTTGGAATTTCTGAATACTATAGGAAAGGTATTCTCTTGATTGGGTTGAACCCCTCAGCAAGAGGGTAGATTTAAATTAGACATTAGGAAGAAGTTCTTCACTATGAGGGTGGTGAGGCACTGGCACAGGTTTCCCAGAGAAGCTCTGGCTGTCCTGTCCCTGGCAGTTTTCAAGGCCAGGTTGGAGGAGGCTTTGAGCAACTGGGTCTAGTGGGAGGTGTCCCTGCCCATGGCAGGGGGTTGGAACTGGATGAGCTTTAAGGTCTCCAACCCAAACCAGTCTGTGATTCCATGAACTGCTGGAAAACTTCTGCCATGGAGGTAGGAAGAGCATTTAACAGTAGTACCTGCAAATAGCTCTAACTCACTCGGTAAAATCAGATTACTTAAAAAAAAAAAAAAAAAAAAACCAAAAAAACAACCCCATGATATGAAGTTCCCTGAAAAATTAAGCAATTCTGAGTGAACCTGCAGTGCCGCACATGTCACCTACTCTCCTTTTCACCAAAATATGGGAAGATGAATATTTTTTCTTTATAATATCAGTAGAAACAAACACACACACACACAAAAACCCCAACCAAACAAACAAAAAATCCACTCCAGAGAGTTAAACTTCACATTTTAATCTCAGGAATCAATAGTTTCATTTGCCAGTAACATTCACACTAACAGAAAATGATTAGCTTGCCCAAACAAGCATCCATTCATTTTTTCTACTGGAAAATTAGAAACTTTTGCATGATTTCCTACCAGGGAGATTTGAGTTGTGGAAGTACAGGGAGGAAGAGGATGGCTCTTTCACTAAACACAAAGCCTCACGTGAGCACAGACACACAGTCTCCTACACAGAAGATGGAGAGGTAGGACTTGGTGCCGCGCTCACCATCTCCTGTCTAAAGGCATCAGAAAAGTAGAATAACTATATTAACCACTGGAAACAAGTCCCTGTTCAGTCTCACACCTGACCTCAGTTTCCAAATCAATTTTTCATCAGTATTGAACAGACTAATGAACACTACAGCATTCAGGTTCTCATTATTTAAAAGTGCTTCAGAGCAGCTAAAAAATAATAAATTACAACCCTAAGGGAATTCACGTGCCGAAGACTGCCCGTCACTTTTTTCTTGCCTTCCAGCAATGCAGTGCTGCTGTGTGAACATAGCACTTGAAGCATGAGTTCCAGCTGTATTTTAACTAAAAATACTTGTATTTCATAATAAATATCTACAGGATTCAGTGAAGCTACTTGCTAATTTCTTATCTAATGTATCTTTCCCTACAGCTTCTCAGACACTGCTATTGCTGCTAAGCTCCCCATCTCCATAGTTCTCAAAACTAAATGTAACACTCATGCTGACAAGTGTCAATTCTGGGCTAAATAAAACTATCAGTAACAGAGACGGAAGTGTTTCAGGGAGGAGTGCTGAAGGGAAGGAAAGCAGATTATTTGCTTAGATAATAGAGATATAAACCACATGGAGCAACTCACCTATGTCACTCTGAGCAGAAAAGGACAAGGGGAGAATCAATTAGAATGAAAAGCAATCAATCCAGACCCAGGATTTCAAGACACAGCATAATTACCAGCTAAGTGGACTATGTAGAAATTTCCTGTACGTTTATAATGTATCTTTACATTATCATTACGTGTATCTACCTTGGAGTCAAGATGCGTTGTCTTTTCTCCTGAATTATCTGTATTATACATGAGAGCACTGCTTTCATGTTATTGATGCAGAAAACACAACTTGGAAGTTGTGTGGTGATAAAAGTGGTACTAAAACTGTAAATACCAACGTTTTAAAGCTAACACTTCTTACTGTGAGCTGATGCAGAAACTTTTCATACCACAGGTTTTTTAAATGCAATGCATTTATGTAAAATCATAGACCATTTCAGAAGCGCATCTGCATGAAAGAAAAAGTAACAGAGTATGTCAGATTCCCTATCCACATCTGTTGCAACAAACGCTTCCCAGTAGGTCATCTCTTAAGTATAACAGAGTATTTATGTACATGCAAAATTAAACTGATGACAATGAAATTGCACATTTATAATTGTATTTTTTATCATTCCCTGTTCCTTTTTGCAATTTAACAGTTTAAATTTCTCTTTCTTTCCATCTTAGAATTTTTGACTGTAAAACCTTCACATTGAGATTTGTTTCTAAGAAAACAGCGTGTTTTGCTTCCCTTAGCCTGAAATTTGGGCACAACTCAACTGTAATTTCCAAGTCATGTTACTTCATATTTCTACCTGAAACTAAGTTGGAGCAGTGAGCAGATTCCTCTTACCTGTTTGTGAGCATGATCATAAGAGTTAATGTGATTGTCAAATTCCTGGTGTTTATAGTACTGTTTGTCACAAAGTTCACAGTAGAAGTTGGCTTTAAGATCTTCCAGAGCTTTTGCTATCGTGCTTTTCTTTTCAGCATAATCCTGGAAGGGGGTAGGAAAAAGGAATTTTAGTTTTGCCTTTGATGCTGCAAATGGATTTTGTCCTCCGAAGTTAATCATATTTGTCAATATTTAGACACCTCTTGTAACTAAAAGCCTTCACATTATTTGCTGTGTTACACTGCACATATTTCCTGTATCTGCTGGGAGGTTGAACATTTGCACACTCCAATTTGCTATGTTGTCGTGGTTTAACCCCAGCCAGACAACTTGTGCACTTATTCCCAGTGAGTGGTGCCAGGCTGGAAGCAATCGAGGCCCACATTAGTCTGCCCCCCTTCCCCAGGGGCTGCCCCCCCCCCTTCCCCGCTCCCAGAGGGATGGGAGGAGAATCGAAAGAATGCAACTCTCACGGGCTGAGATAAGAACAGTCTAGCAACTAATGTACAATACGAATCACCACCGCTACCACCAACGACAACAATGATAAGAGAAAATAGCAAGGGAAAGGAGTACAATACCACGCGCCGAACCACCAGTCCGACCCAGCCGACCCCCTCTCCTTCCGGGTACCTCCCATTTCCCCCCTGGGCATGACGTGCTGTGGTATGGAATACCTCTTTGGTCAGTTTGGGTCAGGTGTCCTGTCTCTGCTTCCTCCCGGTCTCCCCTCCTCCCTGGCAGAGCATGAGACTCACAAAGTCCTTGGCCAAACCAAAACATCATTTTTATCAGCTTTGTTCCCAGCCCGAAAGTCAAAACACAGCACTGCACCAGCTACCAAGAAGGAGAAAAATGACTGCTGCTGCTAAACCCAGGACATTATCCACCCCTTATTCCATACCATTCACGTCATGCTCAGATCCTACATTTTCAATATACCATCACTCTGATCTCAGTGCACTTCTATCTTAGTGCATGGACTAGTCCCTATAAAGCTGCTGAGTCCATCTGGTCCATGATGTCAGGCTCCATCTCTTGTAACAGTCTTTCAGAACAGGAAAGGCTGCATGCAGTATTGGGCCGTTGCCTGCTGATGCTGATCATTCCCTTACTGTAGAACTTGTCTGGTTCTGTCAAAGTTCATTCTCTGTTGGGATGATGGTTGAAGGGAAGTCAGGGCTAGTCGCTGGTGGCCTGAAGACATCTGGTTGATGGGCTATTAAAGTATTACACAGCAGGCAACAACATACAATTAAGTTCATTGGCTGTTTTCCCCTAAAATTAAATCCCCTTGAGGTACACATCGGACTTCCCCATCATCCCACATTACCCACCAAGTGTATCCAGGTCCCTGAGCAAAAGCAATCCCACAAGTGGGTTTGCCTTTACTTGAAGCAGGAATAACCCAGACTGTCTTCCCCAGCAAATTCTTCATATGCACCACAGGAACTTTGTCCCCCTCTACAATATGTAAAAGTTCCGATTGGGCTGGGCCAGCCCTGTTGGCAGATCCTCTGGTGTTGACCAACCAGGTGGCCTTTGGTAAGTGTGTATCCCAATGCTTGAAAGTTCCCCCACCCATTGCTCTCAGTGTAGTTTTTAACAGCCCATTGTACCTTTCGATTTTCCCAGAGGCTGGTGCATGGTAGGGGATGTGATATACCCACTCAATGCCATGCTCTTTGGCCCAAGTGTCCATAAGGTTATTCCGGAAATGAGTCCCATTGTCTGACTCAATTCTCTCTGGGGTGCCGTGTCGCCACAAAATGTGTTTCTCAAGGCCCAGGATAGTGTTCCGGGCAGTGGCGTGGGGCACAGCGTACGTTTCCAGCCATCTGGTGGTTGCTTCCACCATGGTAAGCACATGGCGCTTACCTTGGCGGGTTGTGGCAGTGTGATATAGTCAATCTGCCAGGCCTCCCCATATTTATACTTCAGCCATCGTCCTCCATACCAAAGAGGTTTTAACCGTTTGGCTTGTTTAATTGCAGCACATGTTTCACACTCTTGAATAACCTGGGCAATAGTGTCCATTGTTAAGTCCACCCCTCGATCACGGGCCCATCTATATGTTGCATCTCTGCCCTGATGGCCTGAAGTGTCATGGGCCCATCGGGCCAAAAATAATTCACTTTTATGTTGCCAATCTAAGTCCATCTGAGCCACTTCAATCTTAGCAGCTGTATACACTTGTTGGTTGTTCTGGTGTTCCTCGGTGGCCCGACTCTTGGGTAGGTGGGCATCTACATGACATACCTTCACCACCAGGTTCTGCACCCGGGCAGCAATATCTTTCCACAGTGCAGCAGCCCAGATAGGTTTACCTCTACGTTGCCAGTTGCTCTGCTTCCATTGCTGCAACCACCCCCACAGGGCATTTGCCACCATCCATGAGTCAGTATAGAGATAAAGTACTGGCCACTTTTCTCGTTCAGCAATGGCCAGGGCCAGCTGGATGGCTTTCACCTCAGCAAACTGACTCGATTCACCCTCTCCTCCAGCAGTTTCTGCAACTTGTCGTCGAGGATTCCATACAGCTGCCTTCCATCTCCGATGTTTTCCCACAATACGGCAAGGCCCATCAGTAAACAAGGCATACTGCTTTTCACTTTCTGACAGCTGATTATATGGTGGGGCCTCTTCAGCACGCATCACCTCTTCCTCTGGTGACATTCCGAAATCTTTGCTCTCTGGCCAGTCCATGATGACTTCTAGAATGTCTGGACGACTGGGATTTCCTATTCGAGCTCGTTGTGTAATTAGTGCAGCCCATTTACTCCATGTAGCATCAGTTGCATGATGCGTAGAGGAGACCCTGCCTTTGAACATCCAGCCCAGCACGGGCAACCGGGGTGCCAGGAGGAGCTGTGCTTCGGTGCCAATCACTTCTGAAGCAGCTCGAACCCCTTCATAGGCTGCCAGTATCTCTTTCTCAGTTGGGGTATAGCTTGCCTCAGATCCTTTGTATCCCTGACTCCAAAAACCAAGGAGTCGACCTCGAGTCTCTCGTGGAGCTTTCTGCCAGAGGCTCCAGGTAGGGCCATTCTCCCCAGCTGCGGTGTACAATACATTTTTTACATCTGGCCCAGTCCGAACTGGTCCACGGGCCACTGCATGAATTATCTCACGTTTAATTTGCTCAAAGGCTTGTTGTTGCTCAGGTCCCCATTTAAAATCATTCTTCTTACGGGTCACGTAATAGAGAGGGCTTACAATCAAACTGTAATTTGGGATGTGCAGTCTCCAGAACCCCACTGCACCCAAGAAAGCTTGTGTTTCTTTCTTATTAGTTGGTAGAGACATTGCTGTTATCTTGTTGATGACATCTGTGGGGATCTGTCTACGTCCATCTTGCCATTTTATTCCCAGAAATTGAATCTCCTGTGCAGGTCCCTTGACCTTACTTCGTTTTATGGCAAAACTGGCTTTCAGCAGGATTTGGATTATTTTCCTCCCTTTCTCAAAGACTTCTTCTGCTGTATCGCCCCACACTATAATGTCATCAATGTATTGCAGGTGTTCTGGGGCTTGCCCCTGTTCCAGTGCAGTTTGGATCAGTCCATGGCAAATGGTAGGGCTATGTTTCCAGCCCTGGGGCAGTCAGTTCCAAGTGAACTGGACACCCCTCCAAGTAAAAGCAAACTGTGGCCTGCACTCTGTTGCCAAAGGAATTGAAAAAAAAATGTATTGGCAATATCAATTGTGGCATACCACTTGGCTGCCTTTGACTCCAGTTTATACTGAAGTTCTAGCATGTCCGGTATGGCAGCACTCATTAGTGGTGTGACTTCATTCAGGCCATGATAGTCTACTGCTAGTCTCCACTCTCCGTTACACTTTTGCACTGGCCATATGGGGCTATTAAAGGGCGAGCGGGTCCTGCTGATCACTCCCTGACTCTCCAGTCTACGGATCAGCTGATGGATCGGAATCAGGGAGTCTCGGTTGGTGCGATATTGCCGCCGGTGCACTGTTGTGGTTGCAATTGGCACTTGTTGTTCTTCGACTTTCAGCAGCCCCACAACAGAAGGATCCTCTGAGAGACCAGGCAAGGTGGACAGCTGCTCAGTTTCCTCAGTCTCCAAAGCAGCAATACCAAAAGCCCATCAGTACTCTTTTGGGTCTTTGAAGTACCCTCTCTTGAGGTAGTCTATGCCAAGGATGCATGGAGCCTCTGGACCAGTCACAATAGGGTGCTTTTGCCATTCTCTCCCAGTCAGGCTGATTTCAGCCTCCAGTACAGTCAACTCTTGGGATCCTCCTGTCACTCCAGAAATATAGATGGGTTCCACCCCTTGACAGCTCGATGGCATCAGCGTACACTGTGCACCGGTATCTACTAGAGCCTTATACTTCTGTGGGACTGATGTGCCAGGCCATCTGATCCACACAGTCCAGTAAATCCGATTGTCCCCTACCTCCACCTGGCTGGAGGCAGGGCCCCTCTAATAGTCATCACAGGATTGGATGCTTAAGTCATGTTGAAAGGGATTATTATTGGTTATCACAGGAGCTGGAGTAAAATCAGCGCTTCCACTCCACCTGGGAAACTGCTCACCAGCGACTGAAGCCATAGCTCTCATGGGACGATCAGTCTTGGCCTTTGCTCCTCTTTTCAATTCACTCACCTGTTCCTCCAAAACTGAAGTAGGTTTTCCATCCCACTTTGTCATGTCTTCTCCGTGATCCCGCAGGTAAAACCATAGGGTAGACCGTGGCGTATACCTCTTGTATCTCCTCTCTCGAACAGTGGGACGCCTTTTGTTAATATCTGAAACGTGTGTTGGTACACGCGAGGAGTTGGATAAGTCAGATATATTGTCCCTCAATTGTTTGAGATCCTGGGACAGTTTTTCCACAGCTGAGATAATGGAAGGGGTGAGATTGTCTTCAAACTTGCGGAGTTTATGAACCATTTCATCCACTGTTAGTGGTACTATGTCATTCCAGGTTACCGTTGCCAATGAATGGGCATATGATGATGGTGCATTCCGTGTAAGTTTTCGCCACATGGGTCATGTACATTCGACTTCATCTGGATCTATGGGTATATCCCCGTTATTCAGCTTGATGTGATAGATCATCTCTACGATGGCTGA